AGTGTTAGAGTTAGAGTTTAGAGTTAGTTTTATTAATAAAAGAGTATAAATAGGTTTTATAAGCTTTAAAGATGAGCAAAAAACTCAATTTTATTTTAATCTGATTTTATTATAATTTACTACAGGTAATACATAGTCTTAATTATAGGGTATTATTTTTGTAGAATTCTATAAATAGTAGCATATAATAGTTAATTTTTATTTTCTAAATTTTGTTTTATAAGCTTTATTTTGTTTTACAAATTTTATAACCCTGTTTGTTGTAGTTTTATTTTCATATAAACCTAGTATATAATTTTGAATAATTAGTTTTGTTAGCTTTTGTCAGTTTTATATTTTGCATATTCTGACAGTTCTATACTTTTTGTTAATTATCACTTTTATTACTTTCTATTAGTTTTATTGCCTTTTATCAATTTTGTTATTTCGTTATCTGAGGTTTTATTAATAATAGATAAAACAGGTTGCTATAAATTATCTTAGAGAACTAATATTTATTAGCTGATTATACTTCTATTCTTGTAATACCCTACTAGAAATTTTTTTTTGTACCCCAAAATTAAAATCCTCAAACTATTTATAAAATAATTTCAAGTTCTAAAGTAATTAATAATATAATTACAAGTTTTAATATAATTAATTAACCTCTTGCATATTCTCTTTTCTTCTATATGTTCTTTTCTTTCCTTAAATCTTCTTTTCTTTTGTAAATATGGTATTTATTTTCTTCTCTTATACAAATGTAAGAGATAAACTATTCTGCCTGGACCTAGGTAGGAAAAGTTTTAAAAGAAGATAGGTGGTTTTGACAAGGCATACAATAGCCTACTAATAATCAAGGGTAGTATCATTCTAATACGAAATCCTTAGCAAGTTAAGGATCCTGCGAGAGGTTAATAGTTGTTATGGCAGGTTGTATTGGGTTTTATCTCTAGTAAGTCTTTATCAAAATAGAGCTTAAGGTTGTAAGAATTTAGTATAAATTGTATATAAATTATATAGTAGTTCACATAAATAAAGGCAGGACTGCTTAAAAAAAAAAAAAAAAATTAACCCCTTGTATATTTTTATATACCTTTTGTATAATTATACAGATTCATATATAAAATATATACAAATCTGTATAATTATGCAAGAGGTATATAAAAATATGCAAGAGGTTAATTGATTATATTAAAACTTGTAATTATATTATTAATTACTTTAGAACTTGTAATTGTTTTATAAATAGTTTGGGGACTTTAATTTTGGGTTACAAAAAAGGTCCCCAGTAGAGTATTACAAGAGTGGGAGTATAATTAGCTAATAAATATTAGTTCTCTTATAATATAAAAAAAAATATTAGTATAGTAAATTAGAGTTGGCACCCAAAATAAAATCTATTTGAAACTGGTTTTGGGTAGGTCTAAATCCAAAACTCTAAAACTATAATCTGAAACCTTTAATCAATCACATTTCAGAATCAGATATAACTGAAAATTGAAATAATTATAGAAAATCACTTCTAATTTAAAATTTGGCATATTGTTTTTTTTATTATAACAAAAAAAATTCTTTAGATTTTAGATTAAGAAGTCTTTTAGCTATTGCACTAGCCAAATTCTAAATTAACTCTAGCCCAACTAGGGTTGAAGATATAGAGATTGGAGGCATGCTTCTAGAGCATGCTTAGATGCATGCTCTTTAACCAAAAGGCATGCACCTATCATGTGATCTATAGCTAGCATATGATTAGCTATTTTAGCAATTAACTAATTAGAATACAAATATCTTATTATAGTATATACTTTTATTATCCATATTATTTCATTAACAGTTACTTCATAGACAGCACATTTTATCAACAATTATTCACTGACAAGTTTATTTTACTAACAGTCTAGTTACTGAAGCTCATTTCACTAACAAGTTTTCTTTATGATCTTAATGATATTGACCAGAATTACTTTGTCTATTAAATGAGCTTCAATAAAATAAACTATTAGTGAAATAAACTTGTTGGTAATTGTCAGTGAGTTGATCAGATTCCCTTTTATATCTAGAGAGCATGCCTGGGCATAGAGAGGCATGCCCCAAAAATTTGCTATGGCTCCAATAGGGTTGGAGGCATGGGGTTGGAGGCATGCCTAGGTGCATGCCCTTTAATCAAAAGGCATGCTCCTGTCATATAATCTATAGCTAACATATGATTGGCTTTTTCAGCAATTAACCAATTAGAATACAAATATCTTATTATAATATATACAGGAGGTTGTTCTCTAGGTAGAGTTAGCCTGGCTTGAGCAAGAGAAATCGGGCTAGTCTGAAACTTTTTACTCCAATATTGTTCGCGGGCTATGTACTTTTATTATCCGTATTATTTCATTGACAGTTATTCACTAAAAAATTTATTTTACCGATAGTCTAGTTACTGAAGCTCATTTTATCAAAGTTTTTTTTTATGACCCTAATGATGTTGGCCAGAATTACTTTTGTCTGTAAAATGAGCTTCAATGAAATAAACTATTGGTGAAATAAACTTGTTGGTAATTGTTAGTGAGTTGATCAGATCCCTTTTATATTTAGAGGTACATGCCCAGGGCATAGAGAGGCATGCTCTTCACAAAGGCATGCCCCCTGAGGCATGCCCTAAAAATTTGCCATGCCTCCAATCCTAGCCTCTAACTCTAAACCCAACTGCTGTTTGTTTTGTTTTGATTAATGTAAATCAAAACAAATTAAATAATTGGTCAATACTATCTTATTTGGAACATAAACTTCTTCATTTTCTAAATTTGAATAAAAACATTTAACTCATCTTCGTTATCTAAATCTTCTACAATTTAATTATTATCTGTATTTGATAAATTTTTTCATACATTTCATCATAAATAGTGCATAGTATATTAATTATAATAAAACTAAATTATATATACTATACTAAATTAAAATTTTAATAATTTAGGGGTTTGAAAAAGTTTCAGATAGGTTTTGGAGGTTTCAGGTAGGTTTCGGATAAGATTTTTGGTTTCAGGTTTCGGATGAGGTTTCAGAATCTATAATCCGAAACCTGAAACTTTTGAATTTGGCCAAAATGGTTTTAGGTCCCAACTCTAGTGTAAATCAACGGATGAATCAAGTATCTGTAAAATGTTTTGGCCGCAGAAGCGGCCCAAAGTATATTACAGGTATTTGATTTATTCACTGATTATTATCGTCTGTTATTCATTATGAATCTGTATTATTTTATCTATAATCATTTTGTAGTTCATGACATTTAATTACAAACAAGATTTATTTTACCAATGATTAATTCACAGACAAGTTTATTTCATGGACAGTATATTTTCCAACAGCTCATTTCACTGACAAATTAATATTGGTTATTATCGTAGCATACTTCTTAAGGTTAATGCAGTCTATTAAAAAAAAAAAAGTATGAAATGAGCTGTTTGCAAATTATACTGTCTATGAAATGAACTTTTCTGTGAATTAGTTGTCTGTAAAATAAACCTTGCCTGTAAATTAATTATCGGTAACTATGATGATTGTCGGTGAATCGATTCATTATTTATTATATATTAAAAATCTCCCAAAAATATAACCTCATCTATATTAATTATTGAATATTTATTTTTATTAACATTAGTTTTATTCACTTAGCATTTCATCCAAATTAATTTGTGAAGATTCTATTTTGTTAAATTCATTAATATGTATTCTTGACAACTTCATTAACCTCATTTGTTTATACTAACTAGCTAGATAAAGCATTTAAGTATCAAGATATTTGAATTCATTTTATTTAATTTTACTATGTGAGTAGTAGAAAGATATTAATTCATTATTAATTTCATGTTAATTTATGGTATATGTCGTACCCCAGATTAGAATAAGTGTAGGTTTAGAATTGGGTCACGTAAAATTAAATTTTGACTTTGAAGTGCATCAGATGGTTTTGTCATTTATGCATTATATTAAATAAAATAATAAATTAATAAAAATTGGCTTGCTTAAAATTTTTTTACATACTATTTATGTATTTTATATCGAACTAAATACTATAGAGTATTCATTTATTACACGTAAAACTTTTAGTAGTATTTAGTAATTTCATTATTATATAATCTATTGCTTATATAAAATGGATTAATTCTTTATGTTTATTTAAATTGATTCTTCTTCACAACATTCTTTATATATCTCAAAACCATTGCAAAATTTAATAAATAGAAATAATAGAACATCAAGTATTACAAAGAATTGGACCTATCAGCAAAGATGACCTCTGCAATGATAGCACAAATTAGAATACGAAATCGAAGAGCACTATGTGCATATGTACATAAAAAATTTTTATTTCAAAAATCGATCGATTTAATATGATGCATAATAGATAAATTGATCTGACGCATCTCAAAATCAAATTTCAGTCTAACACAACTCAATTTCATGCACAACATATATAAGTCTGAGATATTTGAATAGATTATTCAGGTTTTGAATCTTTACTATCAAGTAACGCTTCTCATTTTATTCAAATAAATTTAGAAATATGAAAACCATTAATTTATTAGCAGTATCCAAATTATTGACACACAACACAACTTTGCTTCTGTATACATAATTATTAAAACAGATGGTGAAGCTGTCTACATAATTATTTTCTAGTTGAAATAATTAAGACAAATGCTGCTAATATATGATTTAAATGGTTATATTTATGCTTACTCTTTTTTATAAATAATTAGTTCTTTAATTACCCTAATGCTTTTGATGAAAATTGAAAAATAATATAGTATTATGTAAAATAGAATTATTCAAATGTTTCTCATTTGAATGAGAACTATCGAAGATACCTGCTCTGCACGGATAATATTATAAAAATTAAACTAAGCTTCCACCTAGTTCCTTTAAAAATTCGTGTTATGATTTAGTTTTATCCGTTTAAAAATTGTGTTTATGTTTTGTGATTTAGTCTTATCCGTTTAAAAATTTTGGTTGTATTGTTATTTCCGTTTTTATAACATATTCATAGTTCGTTCAATCTTTAATGTTGTTAAAATGTCCACCATGGACAAAAAATAAGAAAATGCTGTATCTTCTATAGGAGGAAGTGTAGATGATATAGTTGTCATTTGTGGTGTGGGTCTGCCACGTCTGTGCCGCAGTCTTCTGACGGTTCGTGGAAGGTACTGCTATTATGACTATTGATTCTACTATGTTTTATCATTCATGGAGTGAACTTGCCATGCCTGCGTTGTGATCTTCCAACAGTTCATGAAAGAAGCAGAAGGATACTGCTATTATGATTAATGATTTTATGCCTCATAGAAATAGATATTTATGAAATATTGAAGATTTTCACAGTAGAAATATTTTACAAGATCGATATTTTTAATTTCAACTTCAGAAACAT